TATCTCCTTTCTTCTAACTCTACCTTTCAAATAAATAAAAATTAAAAAAAAATTTTTTTTAAATAAGCAAGCATACTCCGTGGGAGAAAAAAGAAAGACAATGTTGTAAAGAAATCCATCAAGTGCTGTTAACATTGAAGTGTTTTCTGTTAGACTTTATACATGTGATTTCAGTTTGCTTTATTTTATTTGTTTACTTTTGTTTATTTGAAACAGAACCAGCGAGACAGAGAGTGCGCAAGTGTGTGTGTGTGTGTGTGTGTGTGTGTGTGTGAGAGAGAGAGAGAGAGAGAGAGATTTCCCTCTGCTAGGAGAGAGGGAGAGAGAGAGAGATTTCCCTCTGCTAGGAGAGAGAGAGAGAGAGAGAGAGATTTCCCTCTGCTAGGTTACTTCCCAAATGCCTGCCAAGATCTGGGCACTGGGAACTTCGCCCAGCTCTCCCATGTTGATGGCAGGCACCCAAATACTTGCCCGATTTATGCTGCCTCCCATCATATGTCTAAAGGAAGCTGAATCAAAAGTGGAGCAGCTGGAACGCAGACTCAGCCACTGCAACAGGGGATGCAGGCATTGAAGCAATGTCCACTCCTTGAGGACAATTGAGTCCGAGCTTCACTGAATATAACAAAAATGGACAAAGGTGGTGTTGTTTTTATGTCTGACACGACTTTGTTATATCAAGGTAGCAAGGATAGACATTTATATTCCAAAGGACATGCTCATCCTAGACTCAGAAATCACTGGTTTATCAGCTAGTGTCACCACGAATGATCGCTAAGAAACAATTTAGGGGCTGGCATTGTGACCCAGAGTGTTAACCTGCTACCTACAATGCTGCCAACTCACATGAATGCTGGTTCATGTGCTGGCAATGTCCACCCGGGTCCTTGAAAAAAGTGCCTGGAAAGCAGTGAAAGATGATCCAATTGCTTCAACTTCACCCAAATAGATCTTTTTCAAATAAAAACAATTTACAACGCAGTAAAAATTGTATGTATCTCTTTTAGCATAATGTCAGAGCAAGTGACTCTGCAAGAACGCTGGAAGAGTGGTCTTCCCAATTTTAGTAATGATCCGAATTTCTTGTAAAATTCTTTGTTGATTTGGTAGAAATCACTACAAAAGCCAGTTGTGTATAAGGTAATCCAAGTAAATTATTATATCTACAAGTCGGTGATTTGCTCAGAGCACTTCACACATTGGAAAATTACATGTCTAGAGATGAAAGACAAGCAAAAGAATTCAGCAGTCTCAGTGGTTGAAACTGCATTATACTCCAGACGAATCTTTCTCCATCCTTGCTGTTGAAAGCTGTATTCTCACAGTGTCACACAAAGACATCAGCTTCTCTTGCTGTAACCACCAGCTTTCCGAGTCCTCTTAGTCTGTTGTTCCTGGCATGGGCTGTTGTAGGTTGGCAGAGGCAGTTGGGACAGAGGTGAAGATTGGAGCCATATGCTATGGACTGAAGCCGAGCCCAGTGCAAATTCCCATCTGCGGCAGATTGGCTAAATTAATCACTGTGGTCTGGAATCCAGGTTACAGTCACACGGATAGAGTGGGATTGTTACAAACATTCCATGGAATAAAACCCATCTAGATACGCTTACCACAATGCCTTCTGTACAGTTGTCAATGTTTAATAAGTTTCACTTGCAATTAGATCATAACATGGAACTTGTGGGACACAAAGAAAATAATGACAAGCTGAAACCTATCACGTTATGACTCTTAGCTAGAAAAAGGTAGCTGTTTAGGATTAAAGCAATGACTATAAATATGATTTCATATCCCAGCAGCTCCACTTCCAACCCAGTTCCCTGCTAACCGCCTGTGAAAGCATTGGAGCAGGGCCCAAGATTGTGGGAGACCTGGAGGAGGCTCCTGGCTTTGGATCAGCAAGTCTCTGGCCATTGGGATCAGACAATATCTCTCCCGCCCCCCCGCCTCCTCTCTGCCACTCTCTCTCTAACTCTTCCAAGTAAACAAATAATTTTAAAAATTAAGTTAGAAAAGCAATTTAAAGATCCTGTTCATTCACTAAGAAATTTAGGTAAGAATATGGAAAAAGATAATTTGAATACCCAAGCATTACAGGAGGATGTAATTACAAATGTGATTCTAAACTAATGACCATTCATCAATGGTGAGTCAGGTAAAACTGGTAGCCGACATTTATTTTGATTTTCATTACTTCCCATTAGGGAGAATGTTATACCCTTTCCTGATATTTGCAAGGGAAGATGAACTTTGGAGCTATTTCTTCACATGTATTTTTCTTAGGAAAGCTGACTGCTGGAAGCAGAGACGTCTGCGTGCACCCACTCAGACCAGCTTGTCCTCGGCCTCCCGGCCCCCTGCCCACTCCCTCATTGGGTAAGTACAAGCACACTGTGTTCTCGCTGCTCAGTTTTCTGTCCAGGGCAGAGCTTTCTATTCTGTTTCAGATTTCCATTTGTCCCGTAGGACTCACTCACCTTCAGTTCAAATGAGTGATCTCACTCGGGCTCAGATGTAAGCACATTTTGCAATCAAGTTTTTATGTGAGTCCCGAGTTGGTTCAACCCTTTTAAAAACTACATATATTGGCTCCCATAGATCTGTTATTTCTCTGTCATCTGTTCCATTAACCAGGACTTCAGAGAGGATAAAAAAAAATCTTTAATAAACTAAAAGCAGAACGTAAAATAATGCTTTTAAGCAGTTTTATTATTGTTCTTCCCAAGGAGCCTTTTTACATTTTTTTCATAATCCCTCCTGTGAAGCTTTAATACTCCAGATGTACTGTATAGTTACTGTGTGTATGTGTATGCTTTATACATAAAAAGAGTGAAGTAAGTATTTTTCACCTCTTAAGTTTCATCTCTCTGGTTGCTCCATCTGATGATGCTTGACATATGGAAATCAAAGTGTCAGAAATCTACACTATGTTCCAGATGTTTTAATATGCTGCAGTGCCTGTCACACATACATCTCAACGCGCAACTGGCTTGTTGAACGTGCAGAACCTTACGAGGCTATCTTTTCCTTGCAATGCACAAATCATACAAAATTTCCTATGAAAGTCAATCAGACTCAAGGGAACTAATTGTTACAAATATATACTCATCTGATATTTTCATTGAATGGAAATCTTTATCCTTTGTATTAGGTGATAACTCAAGAAATTGCAAATTCTTCACACATATAATAAAAAAACTGAGGGGAATGTTAGAACGTGAGTATTATCCGAAAGATGTATTTAACTAAAACAGCACAGGCAGATACGCGTTGTCCAGTTTGTTCGGTCATTCACCGTGAGACCTAATATATGACATGCATGTTATGCTACAGAAGGGTGCAGATACCCTAATGAACTTGTCCCTCGATGATAGTTCCTGTTTGTCAGGCCTCTTCCCAGATTACTTATAACAATGGGATTCGGTGACTATTCCCTGCACTGGGGTTCCTTAGTGAAATCAAAACCAGAAAAAGTCTTTTACTCTTTCCTTTTTCTCCCCAAATCTTTGGGATATGTTTACAATAGACTGTTAAAAACTCTGTATCTAGGAACAGGTGTGCGGTGTAAGCTATCACATTGCTTCGGACACTGGCAGCCCATACCGGAATGCCTGCCTTTGACCCTGGTTCTGCTCTCCATTTCTGCCTCCTGTTAATGCAGGCCCCACATAGCTGGGTTCCTGCCACCCAAGGGGGACATCCAGCTGGAGTTCTGGATTCCTGCTTAACACCTAGGCCAACAAGATTCCTGTGAGAAATAAAACAGATCCTGGGAGACTTCTCCATTTGTTAAACGAGAAACTTCAAGGGTGAGTTGGCAATAGGGCTGTAAGGGAAGAACTGGCAGAGAAGCACGTTGACCAAGATATCGCCAAGAGGCCGTGCTAACACCGAGAGACTGTGGAATTACGTCACCACGTCTTTCCTCGCATTTGAAAGATCTTTGCTGGAGAAAGGGAAATGAAGTCTGTGTAATGGGGTATTACATTGCTGAGCTCTGAAGAGTCTGGTCCTCAAACAATACTTGCCCCTGCGGCCGGTGTTGTGTCTTAGTGGTGTAGTGCATTGTAAAGTAGGAGACGGAACTTCAAATAGTTTTTGCTATTTTGCCCAAGAGAGCCAAAAAAGCAGTGTAGAATCTGGTGAAATGGATCCAAATGTGAATTCTGTGTCAAAAAAAAAAGGAAAGCATGAAAGCAATGGCACTAATTTTCCAATAAAAATAGTGATGGTGGAGAGGAGAAAAAAGTATTAATAGAGATGTATCTTCCAAGTGTGCAAATATCATGCAAGAGAGAAGCAAGTGGTTCTACATAGAATCATTTCCAAAGCACAGTTGAGGGACACTAGGATAAAAGCAGGCTGGTGGCTGGACGTGATAAAGAGCCTGGAGGCAGAGGTTGCATTCCCTGGAAACAAATGCCGAGATGAAGCTTGGAAAGCTAGAGGGTCTTAGGAGAGCTTAGAGTTTTGTAGGTTTCCACACCTGAGAAAGTCAGTAAGGCGAACTGACTAGAAGGAGGAAAAAATCTTTTTCTAATTCATACTTGGTGAAGCTTCACACACCAAAACAGAGCTCAGGGCTGGCCCCAGTGCATCATGCCGCCCCCGTTTCTCCTGAAAGCGGACACTGGATCCGGACTGGCCCTGAAGAGCTCACTTGGGGCTCTTGCCAAATTACTGACTGCATCGGGTGGAATCAGTAGAACTGATTTCCTTACATCTACCGCCTTATGTCCATCTCATTAAAAGCTATAAATTGTTAGTTGGTGTGAAGCAAGCCTTGTTGTGCGGTGTATGTGAGACACCAGACCACCTCATGGAGGACAGATCTGTCTCTGCTTTACTCTGAAGCTGAAGTAGTAAAAGCTTCTTAAGAGTACTGAAGTGATGGAAGTGAGAGACACTGGCCTGTGAACAGACAAAACACTTTGTATTTGCTTTAAAAATCATTAAAATTCACTCGTAAGGTGTATGCATGATCAAAATCAAGTGTCAAGTTTCATAAAAATAGTTTATTTTAGAGACTTTCAATAGGGCTTCAGCCTCCCAATTTCATATTATAACAAGAAGACAATTAATTAGTGTGTTTAGCATATTTCACATTTATTATTGGTTGAGTAGCTCTTACCTGAAATGCTTGGGACCAGAAGCCTTTTTCATTTAGGAATTTTTCAGTTGGCTAATGAGCTACCTTGCAGTGGGAATGGAAGTGTCAATACAAAATTTATTTAAGTTTAATATACATTTTATACATGTAGGATATCCAGACTTTTAATATTTTCTATGTGTCTAGCATTGTGACCGTAAGCCAACACTTGGAAGTTTCCGACTGGAGATCACTCTGGCTTCTCTCATACTATCTATGCTGTTTATATACACAGATACATATCAGCCCAAAACTGAGTCATTTAGTATTTTACAGTTTTTCCAAAAGTCTAGCTCCATAATTACTTTCTTCTCTTGAAAAATAGAATATCCTATTAAATACTATGAAAAGTCCTTGTTATTTTGGAAATGCATACTATCATCTAATAGTAAGATCCAAAATGAGACTGCCCATCCCCGGGGGCGGGCGGGGGAGGAGGAGGGGGAGGGGGCGGGGGAGGGGGGAGGGAGTAAGGCAGGTTAAGCATTGGGGCAGCCCAGCCCATGTTCACGGCTGGGGGCGGGGGCAGCGTGGGGGGCGGTGGCGGCGGCGGCGGCGGCGGGGGAAGTGAGAAGTTCTGCATGTCGTACACTGGAGGAGGGAATGGGTAGTGCGGCGTGACGGGGGTCTCTTGTCCAGGACCCGGATACGCTGCCATCTCCTGGCACACTGAGTGCTCTGGGCGGTAGAACTGCTGAGGCGGTGGCCCCCCGTGCCAAGCTGGAGGGCAGCGAGCCCTCGCAGAGCCTCGGGCAAATTCCCGGCCGTGGAATCCTTTGGCAGGCTCTGCAGCGGAGCTGTAGGCGTTCCAGTTCTGATGTATTTCAGCAAAATCATCACCTTCGAGGGAAGGAAAAAGGCACAGCATATTAGAAAACATGGTAACAATCTCAACGATTCCGTTTCTTTCATTACCAGTATATCTTACTGCAGTTAGAAAACTGTACAAGTTAATGAACGTTATTACCACAGCTATGTACAACCAGAACAGTAAAATAATAGTATGTCACCAAATGCCTGCAAAAATACAGCCAAACAGTCCCTGCATGTGAATATAAAATAATACAGCCATACTACAAAATAGCTTGGCATGAGCTATTACCCAGCACACAGCCCGGCAGCTGTACTCCTGATATCTACGTCAGAGAACGAACTAGCCTTTGTTACTCTCTTCCTCCCGTGCAACGTGGAACGCGCTGGAAGACAATGCCTGCTGGATGCCGGGGCAAGGACCAAGAGAATCCCAGCACTTCCTTTAGTTCTGTCACTGCTCTGCTTGTGTAAATGTAAATGAAGACAGACGTACCTTGCTCCATAAAATCAGATTTGGGTCTTTTCCGGCCTTGCAGTTGTAATTTTTTTCTCTGTTTGGCTTCTTTTTCTTTTTCATCATCACTGAAATCTAAGGCCTTGCAAAGAAAAATACATACATTATGTCAAATTAATTTATTGACTGAGTCAACAGTACCAACTCAGAGGGGACTCAGACTAACCCTGTATGTGCCACTACCTAAATAAAATGGTGGCCCCTTTGATCCTAAGCATTTTCTAGTAATACTGAACAAATAAACACTGGAAAAGGACTACAGCCACTGGCATCCTGATTCCGCCATCTGTCAGGGGAGGGCGAGAGCACTGCACAGAACCTGGACTCCCAACTCTGTTTCGCAGTAAGCTAAGATGATGGAGCAATTAACATGACCATAATCAGGAAGTCACTGCTTAGGTCGGAAACAGCAGCACTGTACTGTCATGTTGAGCTTTCACAAGACAGATATTTCAATGACTTTAAAAACAATATGCGATTCCAGCAGTACTTCTGATAACTTAGAATGCCCAATGAGCGATCCCTTTCTTAGTAAATCCTCCAACCTGCCTCACGCCTGCCTCCTGCTCAGTAACTCAGAATTTAACAAACAGCATCTGTAGCATTGCTGACCCAAAGCCTGCAATCCAAAGGCCAGGTGAAGAGTGCTCAGTCCACTTACAACCTCTCGCACATAATGGTCTTCCTTTGCACCATATGAAACGACACTTCCAAAACAGGACTACACTTCATTAATGTTGAATTGCAGTAACTTTGAAGCAAGTGGGAGCAAAAACCAAACCAACAAGCAACCAGGCAACAAAACAAAACCTGCTCAAAATTTCCACAGAAAACTCATCCAAAGTAAAAAAATTTTCCGATTTACATATCAAGTACATTCATATTATTCATGAATTTGTGAATTTATTCCAAATTTCTAGAAAACAAATAATTATCAAGTTACCTGAGAACACAGAACTATTGTCTTGTTGACATGGATACATGAAAATTAAGTGATCACTTCCAAGGAACATAAATATAATGTATAATAAAGGCTAGTAGATTCTGTGATTTGTATCTCCAAAATACATCAGCTTTTTTTTTGTTTTTTTTTTTTTTTACTAAAATACCATAATAAACATCTTGACATCCTTTCTGTTAAATTTACTAAAGAGTAAGATTTTTAAAAATAATGACATTCTACAACAGTAAATCACAAAGAAAATAAGCTGATATTTAAAGTAATTATCAAAATATTACATGGGACTAACATACGTGGGAAAGCAGAGGGTGGCCCAGGCCCTGGGTCCCTGCACCCACACAAGCCAACTCCAAAGAAACTCCTGGCTCTTGGTTGGGTTTGGGTCCAGCCCAGGGCCTGGCCACTCTGGGAGGGACCTGGCGTACAGGAGCTCTTGTTCTGCCTCTATCCCTTACTCTGCAGCTCTTTCAAATATATCACCCGCTTTCAAAAAATGATCAACGTGTATTGAAGGGTATGAGCAGTCATTTAGAGCAGAAGGGCAGGGGCTGGCAGGGGCAGCTGTCCCACTAGCAGTAGGAGCGATGCACGAAGGCAAACCACAGCTAACAGCCTTCTACTCACATCTGGGGGCGGCTCCTGATCATTCTTCCAGGACGCATCTGATCCCCTGTCCCTGGAAAAGAAGATGCATGAAGTACATCGGCACGCATGGCACAGTGGTATAATAATGAACATGGGAGCACTAGAAGCAGGACGCGGTAGCGGCTTGTGCGTGTGCCGGCCAGCGTCTGCAACAGTTTTGCAATGCAGGCTAGAAGTACATTTGAGCAAGATTACAAATAAACAAACTCAACTAATTATCAAAATCAAAATTTTCATCTCAAATAAATGAGATTCAGAGACTTAACATGGAAGCTCCCCGTGCCATCCAGCCGGGCCCAGTTCTGAGGATACTCCTTTATAGTTCCTGAGGAACTGTATTTACACAATGCATCATCTACATTTATTTTAACAGAGAAATAGTGTTACTGGATTGTGGCCTCTATTAATATAATTCAAAGACAACATAAAACCGAAAATAACACTTAAATAATACTAATACTGAAGTAACAGTTTAAAAAAACCCCGAAGTATTCAGAATCGGAATTCAGAACATGCACCAGACGCGAACATGCTCCTGGGAGGCCGACGTTGGATATACGTCTCACCTACAGAGTCACAAAACAAACGGACTTCCAGAGCTGCCCTGATGCTTTGGAAGACAGGCTTAAAAAAAAGAAAGCTACCACAACATCAGCAAAGAATGCAACGTAAAAAGAATACTTACTGTTTCAGCTTTTCTGTGAATATATACTGGGTGAAGTCTTTCATTGATGGAGCGAAATACATAGTCTCCTTTGTTTTAATCCCTTTACTCTCAATGTGATCTGAAGAATTAAATCTTAGCACATAAAACGGATGTGCAACAGGTCCAAATATCTCAAATATCTAAGAAGAAACATTAAGGTTTTTCTTTAGTATGTAAAACAATTTAATTCAGAATTAGCAACATTTTCTTTAAAGGAAAAAACAAACAAAACAAAACAAACAAACAAAAACCTGGGCAGGCATTGTGGTTTGATAAGCCAATCATCCACCTTCAGGAACTGGAATTCCACATGGGTTCCAGTTCATGTCGTAACTGCTCTACTTCCCAGCCAGCTCCCTGCTTATGGCCTGGGAAAACGGCAGAGCACAGCTCCAGTTCTTGGGACCCTGCACCAGCATGCATGGCTGGAAGAGGCCCCTGGCTCCTGTTGTCCATCTTGGGAGACCAAGATGCAGCTCCCGGCTCCTGCTACCCACATGGAGGACCAAGATGCAGCACCTGGCTCCTGCTACCCACATGGGGGACCAAGATGCAGCTCCCACTCCTGCTGCCCACATGGGAAACCAAGATGCAGCTCCCGGCTCCTGCTGCCCACATGGGAAACCAAGATGCAGCTCCCGGCTCCTGCTGCCCACATGGGAGACCAAGATGCAGCTCTCAGCTCTTGCTTTCTGCCTGGTTGAGCCCAGCAAGTTCAGACACGGGAGGATTGAGCCAGCAGATGAAAGTGCTAACTCTCTCTTTCACTTGTTCTGTCTCCATCAGTCTGGCTTGTTCCATCTGGGTCACTGCCACCCATGTGAGAGAATGGATGAAGTTCCTAGTTCCAGTTTCAGTCTGTGGCAGCCATTTGGGAAATGAACCAATTAGGTGAAGATTACTCTCTTTCTCTCTCTTTCTCCATGATCTGATTGTTGATTAAGAAATAAATAAACAAATAAATAAATAGATAGATAAAGCAAGCCCTCTAAAGATGGCCCTAAGCCTTGGGACGCTGCACCCATATGGGAGACCCGGAACAGGTTCCTGGCTTTGGATCAGCTCGGGCTACCTAGGGAGAGAATCAGTGGATGGGAAAGTCTTTCTCTCTGTCTCCCTTTGTCCCTGTATATCTGCCTTTCCAATTAAAAAATAATAATAAACCTTCAGAAAAAGGTTTCTTGTGAGGCAGTGGGTCCCTGGGCACAGAGGGCTCTCAGGGCTGCCACTTTCCCTCTCTCTCAGTCCCCTCGGCGGTGAGCCCCGAATTACACAGGCACCAACTCTCAGCAGTTTATACATATCATACTTTCTTTTTAAAACCTGAAACCCACGCTTGCACAAACATTATGTGTCTGTATTCAAGAAGGAAAAGATAAACACAGCACAACATTTGCAAATATCAAGCTACTTTCCCCTCACAAACTTACTTAAAATCTGCCAAAAATATTAGCTCTATGATAAACTTCAGTTAATTCTGACACGGACTGCTTTGCATCAGTGACTAGGAATCTGAAAAAGCCAATCTCTTTTTAATTTGTGTTAGAACAAAAATAACAGGAAAATCAGAACACATGCCAGGGAGCCACTAACAGAGAATATACAATATCTGCTTTTTCCCCATTTAAGCATAAATTAGTTTTATCTGCTAAAACAACAACAAAAGAAGCCAAGTGTTGCTCACCTGGAAAACAGTAGGCTCCAGTCATTTATTTATTATTCCAAAGATAGTGGCTGCTTCATTTGCTTGTTTCCCACCCAATAAACAGTTACTTAGCACATGGAACTGACAAAGCACTGTGCCGCATGCTTTAGGAGGCTTGTGACTGACGTGGCCGCCTCGCTCCAGGAAATGAGGACCCAGTGTCCATGTCTGACCTCGGGAGGACGTGTGTCCTCTGTTCACTGCCTGGCATCCTCTCTCTGATGGCGACAGTGTTCCCTACCAAGGAAGGACCCGCAGAGTTGTCCCAGTAGGAAGGAAAAATAAGGAAAGTCAGTGAAACCATAGGATGTGAAGCATGCTTTACCAACCTTGCCTGCTGCTTGTCGATCGCTCCTAAAAACTACAGTCTCTTCATTAACAGGAGGCAAGCTACTCATAGATTCAATTATTACTGAAAAACAAGACAGTGTCAACATTTAATCAGAAGATAACCGTAGAATTCTCATGAGAATATAGAACATAATTCCCACACAACTTAAACCAGCTCTGGAAAGGCAGGCATTAGGCAGAGCTGTTCAGATGGCCACATGCACTCTGCATCATCAATGCAACCTCAGGGAGCAGCTGCCTGCCGACGCCCCAGGGTCCAGGTGACTGTGCCCACTCCCACTCGGGCTCTGCACCTGCCCCAGCCTCAGGGAGAGCTGCCTGCTGATACTGCAGGGTCAGGTGACTGTGCCCACTCCCACTCCGGCTCTGCACCTACCTGCCTCAGCCTCAGGCACTACAGGCCACTTCAGAAGAGCACCAAAATAAATAATATTCAAATTGGAGTAATACGCCTCAGCGACTATCCCCCTCCCATAACAAGGCCTGGATGTATCAAATAACACGACAGGCTGTTTCCATTTTTTACAAAAAGTTGTAATTCTATGAGAAACCTGCAGAGCCTCCTGGGAGGGACGCAGTGTGCCGGGCACCCCCAGAGCCTCCTGGGAGCCACCCAGTGTGCCGGGCACCCCCAGAGCCTCCTGGGAGGGACGCAGTGTGCCGGGCACCCCCAGAGCCTCCTGGGAGGGACCCAGTGTGCCGGGCACCCCCAGAGCCTCCTGGGAGGGACGCAGTGTGCCGGGCACCCCCAGAGCCTCCTGGGAGCCACCCAGTGTGCCGGGCACCCCGAGAGCCTCCTGGGAGGGACCCAGTGTGCCGGGCACCCCCAGAGCCTCCTGGGAGGGACGCAGTGTGCCGGGCACCCCCAGAGCCTCCTGGGAGCCACCCAGTGTGCCGGGCACCCCCAGAGCCTCCTGGGAGCCACCCAGTGTGCCGGGCACCCCCAGAGCCTCCTGGGAGGGACCCAGTGTGCCGGGCACCCCCAGAGCCTCCTGGGAGCCACCCAATGTGCCGGGCACCCCCAGAGCCTCCTGGGAGGGACCCAGTGTGCCGGGCACCCCCAGAGCCTCCTGGGAGCCACCCAGTGTGCCGGGCACCCCCAGAGCCTCCTGGGAGCCACCCAGTGTGCCGGGCACCCCCAGAGCCTCCTGGGAGGGACCCAGTGTGCCGGGCACCCCCAGAGCCTCCTGGGAGGGACCCAGTGTGCCGGGCACCCCCAGAGCCTCCTGGGAGGGACCCAGTGTGCCGGGCACCCCCAGAGCCTCCTGGGAGCCACCCAGTGTGCCGGGCACCCCCAGAGCCTCCTGGGAGCCACCCAGTGTGCCGGGCACCCCCAGAGCCTCCTGGGAGGGACGCAGTGTGCCGGGCACCCCCAGAGCCTCCTGGGAGCCACCCAGTGTGCCGGGCACCCCCAGAGCCTCCTGAGAGGGACCCAGTGTGCCAGGCATCCTGAGTCTCCTGGGAGGGACCCAGTGTGCTGGGCATCCTGAGCCTGGTCCCCGAGATACCCATTGTCTTCAGAAAAGACATAAATGTGGCTTTCTAGTTTGGGGCAATCTGCTTCAGCAGTGAGAAAAAACAGTCATGGCAATTCAAAGAATATTCTGGAGAAAAGGTTGTCAGTAAAAACCAGACTAAAAATAAATAAAAACAGACTAAAAAATACTTTTATCCCTTTAAACTTGACTACAAAATAAAGTGTCTTCACATATTTCAAAGAAATGGACTGCCCTTGAAGTCCTTTATTAGATTATTAGTAGAGGTGTGATGAAACCATTTGATTAGTAAAGTTATTTACGTACCTAATTGTTCAATAATGCTGGAAACCATTCCAAGAGGCTTTAACTCAATGTCTTCAGGCAGGATTACAGTGAGCTCTTCAACAGAGGGTAGTTCCTTTAACAGAGAGAAAGCATTAATCTCTCCCAGCTCCAACCACGCATGCTCTCCATTTAAGGTGTGCACACCCCTGGGCGTGCCCAGAAGCTCCTCGGGTGCTTAGTAAAGCATCTAGTCATGGCACCCTTGACAGGCTTCATGGACTCCGTCAGCACTTCTCCCACCTCTCCAGCGACTCAGGGCAGCTACACTGTAGACTGGAAATACAATTTGCCTAAGAATTTAGTCTAATTCCTGTTTTTCCAATCATATTTGAACAAGAGACCAGAAAAAAGAGGGTAGGGAAGAATTAGGAAGGGATGCAGGGACATTCCATTGGAAAGCAATGTAACTCTAACGTAAGGATAATATCCACAGAAGTAAATCAGTAACGACTGAGCTGGTGACTAAACAGAACAGAGGCAGCTGTCCTGGGAGCTGTGTGAAGAGGAGGTGACATCTCTCATCTCTCCAGGACACGGAGGCCACGACACCTACCAGTGAGGCATCAGATGCAGGCCAAGACTACAAGCAGCTGGGAAGGCACTGCCTGATCCCTCCAGCAGAAAGGTTCTTCACGCCCAAAGATTTTTCTGACCCAGCTACAATCCATGTTTCAGTTGCTATGGAAACTGGGTATGGAAGTAGAAACAAAGTTGGAAAAGAATCTAAGAATAAAACTGACTTTATTCAAATTAAATAAAACTTTCTGCTGTTGACCCTTGCCCAGTCGCATTAACTCCAAAGAAAGCTTTTCTTGGAGAAGGCTCGAGAGTGCCAGGCCCCCAGCTCTGTGGGTCAGGAGTGCATGAGGAAGGCTCAGTGAACCTCCAAGAGACGAATGTATTACATTAATCGTATCTGCCATGGAAATTTGAACACAGCTTTCTGACTTCTTTATTGGAAAGACCGTTTTCACACACACATTACTGAGAAGGAAACACTACACTCTACAAATGCCCATAGCAAGCACACACGCAATAATTGAGAAGCAGACAGCTAAAACATACTTTGCTTCTCACACATGCCATTTTTGATCCAGAATTCTGTACAAGCGCCATCCTAAGAGCCTCAATGAACTCACTGTGGGAGAGCCGGCAACCAGCCTCTCCACCAGGTCAGCCTCATCACTGCAGCCTTTTGGGGAGTGAACCAACAGATGGAAGAGCCTTCTCTCTAAACATCTATTTTTCCAGTAAAAATAGATGAATCTTTAAAAAGTAAGCGTCTACACTGCTAAATATCAGAACGGCTCCAATGCAGTCACCTTAACTTCAACGTGCACTTGTACGTCCGACGCAGTCTCCACGCAGAGACTGAGTTTTCCAGGAACTGGCTACAGGCATTTTGGTGCCGCTGTATTATACGCATAAACACACATTATCTCTGCTGAAGTACGTCCCACTTCCATGCCTAAAAGTCACAGTATGGAAGCTTTGCTTTTCTTTCCTTTTCTTTTCTTTTTTTCTGTTAGAGATAGTTAAGCATTCATATTAGCATTTGTAGACTATTTAAGATTCATGTTGCTATAGACTGAATTTCAGACCCCACCTGCAGTCGCCTTGGCAGGGTCACACCAAATGATTTCAGGAGCTTTACACAGTTTTCTGGCCAGAAGTCAACCTCCCTTGCTAGAAGCACATAGAAGGTTAAATAATTGGTATTAAATTTATAAAATATATTTCTGATTCAGACTTTAGAATATCACAATCGCAAACATTTTTATGCTTCTAAATTTGTAATTACATTTAATGTAGTTGAATGAAAAGTTAGGGAGAAAACTGATGAGAGCATTTCTCAGAAAGAACCTAATTTTCCAATTCACTGAAGCACTGATGGAGTTCCAGAGCCATAAGCCACATGCTGCCTTGGAGTCATCACGGAGGTTGCGGACGTTCTCCGCATTCAAGTTCATCCGCGTGGTAGTGCTTTCCACCACATCACGAAGCCATGCAGCAACGAAGAGCGCTACAGGCTCCCCAGGGCCGACAGGTCAGCAATTCCTCTGCTACTTGTCTTTCCCTTACAACCTCCACATTTTGTTTAATTACATTGCAACTAAATCTTCAGATGATAAGATAATTTTAATCCAATTCAAAAAATGAACCGCATCTGAGATTGAATTTTAAAAGAACAATGCAAATGACGGGCTGCCTCCCAGGAAGAGTGGCTTGCCATTTTTCTAGTAAAACAAAACAGAAATGTAGGCTAAATCCCAAATGTGAATAAAGAAATGTAACGTTTGTCAGTGTGTTTAGAAAATGAAAGTAAAAAAGACATCAGATTTTGAGTCAAGAACACATAAATCCATGTGCAGACTAAAATTAAAGACTTTTTTTACAAGGTAAACAGAAGAAGCCAGCCTTTAAAGAATGTCCAAGAGCACATGAAGGCGCAGCAAGGTCGGCCCACAGCCGCCTGAGCGCCAGCGCTCTTCAGCCAACGAGGCTCACAGTAAACCCTTGTGTTGGCGCGGTCATGTGTCATCTCTGTTCCGGTCCAAAATGGGCCACCCATGATAAGCACTTCTAGAGGATGACTCCCACTGCTGGCTGGCATCTCCTCCAGGAATCCTAGAGGCATTTTTGTGCTGTGACAGAGAACTCATTGCACAGGGTGGAACCCTCTCCTTCCTCAAAATACACCCACATTCACACTTCTGTCAAATGGCTCTTCCAGAAGCCTTCCTGGCACCGCCCATGTGCTCTGCTCAGCACACACTTCCACAAAGGCACTCGCACACTCCTACACACCTGCCCACACAAAAAGCAATGGCCTCGGCCTTAGGATCAGCCAACGCGAGTACCCATCCCAGCGCCCTGGTGATCTGTTCCAAGCTATTTACCAAGTCTCAAAGAAGCCAAACCATTAGCCCAAATGAGTAACAGAGTCCTGAAGACACTGAGGACAAGCCGTAACCTGGTTTTCAGAACTGAGCCATTCTCTTCCTCTGAACTTGAATCCTGAAGCAGTCCTAATACATTCTGTAAGAACCCTAAGAACCAAGAACACGTCACTCTGAGACATCTCTCTATTAGCAGAGTGTTCCAAATTACTGGGAACTTCAATAAATTTCCATAATATTCAAGAACCTAAAATGTAAAGGGTCTAGTTGCCTCTTCTATTCTCCTAAGTGACTGCTAAGAACTTGCATAAAAAACAACAGATCAACCCATTGTTCTAAGTTCTAGGAAGTTAAAAACGTACTGCTAGTGAAAAGGGACGTTTCCGATATGAGCAACACATACAGTCATACAATAGCACTAAATCATTCAAAGTGTTTCTTTCTGCTTTATTACATGTCAGTCTCCCTGCGCTGCACACCGTGGTAGACAAACTAGACTGATGTTTCACACAGCACCCGGCGAATGAGAAACTGTACTACAATGTCTAAGAACAAGGACGCCCATCCCTGCACTCTGTAACTGTTAATTACTCACAACTGAGAACTCAGACTTAAAGGACGAAGACCAGAAATGAACTCAGTTCTCAGAGAACATGCTCCACGGCTTCTTTGCAACCACAGAGCCGTTCTGATTTTCTGATGGTGAACTGGGCTTCTACGATGTGAACACCAAATCTCCAGGTATTGGCAAGTAAGCTATCCAGATCTCATTAGAGCAATGAGATAGCCATACACCTGCAAGACTGCCATTCATTTGTTGGTTTTTAAGTAGGTAATGAGGAACGTGTACACAGCAAGGTGATGAAGACGCAACAAGAAACCATACCCACCTACCACACATCTAGACAACTGTCAGAGCTGGGAGGCTTTGTGTAAACAGGCTATTACAAGTTATCAACATGCAGGCAGCACGGGAGCATGACTCCCTGCACACAAACCCAGAAGCTTCCAAGGCATGAACAACGCAGCAGGAAACATAACAGAAGCAAAAGTGAAATGGGTGGGCGTGAAGCCCATCAGTAAGATGTGCCTGCCTTGCCAGGGAGGGCCCACCTGCGGCTCTGGATTCTAAGTCCCTGATGACTTAGACCCCGAGCAGGGACGCCTTGAGCAATGAGGCTCCCTCAGAGGCCAGACTGGGTCTGCAGCTCCTAGCCGCTGCCAAAGAATACTTATGCAAGGACACATGCCCAGAAGCTGTGCAGCTGGAGATGGGTGCCACTGCTGTCACTAATCTTCAGGGATGACTTTAATTGAACATCTTCCGCAGTTTCCTCACTTACCGCCAGGAACCTCCTTTGTCTCTATGTCCCTGAACACACTCAGGCTTTACTTTGGCCTGCACTTCCCCCTGCAACACTACAGTGTTCCCAAGGAAATATCTGCTTTCGAAGAATCTTATTTCTACTTAGGTCGAGACCAAGTAAGACAAATAACTGAACCACAATGGTGTCAAACATGCAAATAAAACTTAGCAGATCTAAGTACTTACATCAAGAAGTAACTCATCTTTTGTTTTAAGAGGAAAATTCTTGCTCTCCTTCTCAGCTTGTAAATCATCTTCTCCATCTGACAGCACCAGAGGAAGTGATTCAGAAGACGAAGAGGAGGAGGAAGATGAAGACGAGGAAGAAGAGGTTGAACTATCTGAATCCGAGTCGCTGTAAAACAGAAAAAGTTAAAACTCAGTTAAGTATTATATTGTGGTATTAACATTATTCAACAAGGAATCTTACTGTACATGTTTATAGTTGAACTAATCCAAAGCCAGCAATATTGAAGCTGACTACAGTCATGGGTAACTAGTCTTCAATTCACCAAGAATATTTTCAAAACCCTGGTATGATCCAAATGCGGTTTCAGTAATTTCACACATATTTCAATAATCAAGCAAAGGACAAATCACTGACAGTGAGCTCTGGGCAACCTCTGTCCTCAACCTCCAGATGAACAAGAGTCAGCATTCCGTCTTCTCAGCCTTCAACTTGGGAACACCTCGGTTACCAACTACATCCACCACTGTCTGCCGCAAACTCCTTGGACCGTCCGACTGTCACAGAAGCAGGCACCAGGACTCCTTGCCTTGGCAGGGCTCTGTTCCTGGCTCTCCCCGCCTGCCCCCTTAGCAGGTGATTCTATGGCTCCACCCTCAGCCACCAGCTGCTCTCCTCTGTACTAGCTTCATGAATAGCCTCAGCAACTCCAACCACTGCTACAATTACCCGTATGCAGATCAACTTCTAAATCTCCAGGCTTGACACCTCTCCACTCTGGCTGCCTTCTGGACACAGTGACGGCCCACGCCTACTTCACACTTGCACTAAGGTAAATGGGATGAAGTACACTGTTCACAGGGGTAAAGTCCCATCTCCAGAGCGGTCAACAGCATCTTGGCCCACTTCCCCAGCCCGTCTTCACCGCCAATACGGCTGTTTCAGGCCTTCTGTCTCAACCGCTCTCTGCATTAGCGATGCTGATAAATACCACCTGCTCCAGCCACGATACTCATCCTCGTAGCCCACTGCTCCTCCTGCACCTACTCACCATCGTCTCTCCTGTAACCCCGTGCAGGTCACCCAAGTGTGGGACACACAGTGACCGAGTTACTATTCCTGCTGTGTGTGAGAACAACACGTGTCTTCGGCAGTGTTCTCAGCTAGGCATGCTGAATTCAAGCATCACAAGGTATAAATCTTTAGAACTCCTTACTAACACACCAAAGGAACAGTCCTAAAGTAACGGTTAAGTTCCCACAGGGCTTTTTTTTTACAACTGCAAATGTCTGTCTGGAACTATACCATGAACTCCCTGACAACCATGCTGAACCAGCAGGATGACCAGGAACTAGAAACCAAAGACCATCAACCAAAACACTGCTTCATTCACAGAAGGCTGTCACCTTTCACTTTGCAACCACCATCCTCTGACGGGGGAGAGTGGTCAGAGTCGCGGCCAGACCCTCAGGTCTCCTATGAGGACTCAGTACCCCACCTCGGCTTTCTAAACCGGCACCGGGTTACTCCCCCACTTACTGTTAGAGGCTCGGCCTATGGAGTCCGACCTGGCGCCTCCACTCTGATGGGCTTACCGCTGCTTCCCAGTCTACCTAGTCCAGCCTCCACCCTGTTTCATCCTTTCTCCCTCAACACTCCCCAAGGAGAATGCTCCTCCCCCGTGTCTATTTTGTTTACTCGTTCAGAAGCCTACAGAACACACCCCCAAGCTCTGATGCCTCTCTAGGTGTGGCTTCCTAACTTTCCACGTGACTTCCTCTCCCGGCAAAGAGCTTTCCCACTTGAAACCAACTTCAGCTCACTGCATAAACACCCACTCCCCACGAGGATTCTGTTGGCTGTCAACTTTGAAACACTCCAGCAGAATCGGCTTCCCGAATCTCCACTAACCCAAGTTCAACAAACAAGACCACACGCTAAACTTCGGAAAACAAAGACAAAACACCATAATAATAAACCTCAAGTCTAAAAAGTGTAACAAGAAAAGTTAAAGCCACCGATTGGGCAATTAGGGCAACAATTATCAGACACCCTCCCCCCCCCCCAGTCCCCACTCCTGCCCCGATCACAGACTCACTTGAAACCTGCTGTAGACACATATTACACACAGCACGTTTCAGGTTACCCAGCTGGGGGAGGCAGTGAGGGCGGAGTCCCAGGTGAGAGCAGGGCGCGGCGGCCAGCACCCCGCACCCCAGACACGTGCACCCGGCGCCCCGCTCCGCACCCCGGGGCCTGCTGGGCCCGCGCCCCGGCCGTGCTCCCCCCACGCTCCCCGACCTGTCCGAGTCCGAATCCGAGTCCGAATCCGAAGTCCCCACGGGCTGCCCGGGCCCGGGGTCCGGCTTCTCCCCGACGGGATGCGCCTCCACCGACTCCCGGGGGTCCGGCTGCTCCCCGGCGGGATGCGCCTCCACCGACTCCCCGGGGTCCGGCTGCTCCCCGACGGGATGCGCCTCCACCGACTCCCCGGGATCCGGCTTCTCCAGGGGCTCCTCGGGGTGCCCGGCCTCGGGGTCCCGCTCTTCCCCGGGTGGCCCGGCCTCGGGGTCCCCCTCCTTGGGCATCTGGGGCTCCGGAGGGGGCCCCCCCGGCCCCTCGCCGGCACCGCTGAAGTTGAGCGTCTCCAGCTGGGCGGCGGCGGCCTCCACCACCTCCATGGCGCAGCGCCGATCACCACAGCCCCGACTCCAACTTCGCGCGTCTGTGCGCGAACGCCATGTGAACCAGCCGGAGACACGCCCCCGCCGCGCTCGCAGGGGCACTTCCGGGAGGACGCGTGACGTCACGGCGCGCGACGGCGCGACAGCGCAGTGCGGGGCGGGATGGCGCCTCAGCGACGTGGGGGACCAGTCTTCAGGGGCGCACTTGAAGTCCGCAGTTTGTTCTGGTGCTGGAGAGCCACCAGGCCAGGGTGTCCTGTGGCTGGGTCGGAACCAAGAGAGTCCCCACCACAGAACAGGCGCTGGGTTCTGTGCATCCCAGCCATGTATGGCCGACTGACAGAAAAATAGAGATCCAATGGCTTATTCCTCAGATACCCGCAATAACCAGGTCTGGGCCAGAGCACTTTTTAAAATGTCAGTAAAGTAAAATGAAGTTAGATACGTCATAAATACGTAAAAAACAAAAAACCCTGACGTGACTGGAATTTTCTTTCTCCGAAGCGCTCTCAGAGTACAGCATCGTGGTGCTCCGAGCTGGCTGTCCACGTTACGGTGATGCGGCCTTCGCAGCTGTGGCTGACCCACATGCTGCAGTGACCAGTCCACGTCCAGGCTGCTGCACCTCTTCCCGCCGGTGCATGTCGGGGTCAGTGATGTCCCAGGTTTGGAGCTCTGCCACCCACATTGGAGACCACGATGCAATTCCTGAACTAAGTCATGGAAGATGCCCCCTTCCTGGCTTTCTGTCCCTCTGCCTTTCAAAATAAACAAAACTCAGTGAGGATGAAGAGTGAGGACCTATCCTGGTGAAGCCAGTCAGTGCCTGCAGCCACAGCATGCCGAGTCCTGCCTCCCTTCTGACCCAGCCCCCGGAAGAGAGCAGACGCTGCCCCAGAAGGTTCCTGGCATCAGCCTGGACCAGTGCTGGGTGTGTGGGCAGTGAACCAGTTGGTGGAGGATGTCAGCCAAGGTGAGAGTGGGCCCCAGCCCCAGGAGTCCTGCAGCTGTATGCATCCTCTCCCGTATTGTGAGGAAGCCATTTCCTCAGCCCGCAGGGGAACCAAAGTTTTGTTTCTGCCTGGAGAGGGGGTGTGGGGGAACAGAGGCAGAAGCCCCAGGCCTGCCTCCCCACCAGGAGGCTGTGTGCCATCCTTCCTCTCCACTAAGAGCTGCCCGGGTGGAGCCACAGGCTGGGGGCATGCCTTTGCCTGCCATTTCCCCATTGGCAGTTGCAGTGTGAGCTGCTGTTTCTCTCTGTCACTCTTTCAAATGAATTAAAGAAAGAAATCTGGGAAAAAAAAATCCCTGGGGCTGATGTGATGGCTCAACTGGCTAATCTTCTGCCTGCAGGCACCAGCCACACTTAGGGGTTCCAGTGCATGTCCCGGCTGCTCCACTTCACATCCAGCTCCCTGCTTATGGCCTGGGAAAGCTGTGGAGAATGACCATAGCCCTGGGAGTCTGAATTCATGTGGGAGACCTGCATGGGGCTCCTGCCTCCTGGCTTTACATCTGCTCAGCCGTCTGGGGAGAAGCATTCTCTCTGCTCTGCCTTCTCCCTGTGTATCTGCCTTTCCAATGAAAATAAAAGACTTTTTTGAAAAGATAAGTGCTAGCCCCTTTAAGGCCCACTTAGACATCTTCCTGGTGATGCTAAGTGACACTTGGCACAGGCAAGAAGCCAACTTTTCTGTAGATTTCTACTCCTGGTGCAGGCATTTCCAGGGCCAACCTGGCACGGATACATCGATGAATCCGACCAAGAAATCTGCTTTACAAAAATTGCTTAAAACTTCTTTTTCTGTAAAACCTCTTTGTAAGTGGCCCTGCCTGACCCCAGGTGTAAGGAAGGGAAGGACTCCTGCAAGCTCCGAGTCATGTCCTGCTGCAGTCTGTTCCAGTCAGGCAGCCAGCCGTCTGACTCGCTGATGGTACCTGGCCCTCGCCAGCAGCCTGCTCCCGCCCTCCACCTTGCAGCAGTGTTAGGGCATGTCCAAGACGGCTTTGATCCCGACAATTCACTAGGACCTCTCCAAGCTCCCCGCAGCACCCACGCACACACACGCACACACACAGCAGACAGCATTGCTCTGGGTGTGGATCATGAGGTAGACGTGTTCGGAGCACTGTGCATCTGGGAGAGCAGGGTGATTCACAAGGGAGATGAAAGGGAAGCCATCAGTACGCCAGATAACACCAAGCTCAAATCCAGACTCGCTGGTTCGCCTTTCAGACTGCCTGATTTCATTGCTCGTTCTTCCTGCTTCTCATTCTCTCTCTCTCTCCCTCTCCTTCTCCCTCTCCCTCTCTCTCTCAGTCCACCTCCTGATCATTTTTGTATCTTTATGCCACATACCCATTGATCTTCGTGATTTCATTTAACTTCAGGTTGTCCATCATGTATGGCATTTTCACTTTACTGTGCTGGCTTCGTATTTGCCCAGCTTCTTCACTCATGTCTGTTCAGAGTGCACTCAGGAGTGCCTCTGGCCCACCCCATCTAAGCATCCTTGCAGTGCCAGTCACTCCCCATCTTTTTTAAAAAATATTTTTTATTTATTTTTATTGAAAAGTCAGATATATATTGAGGAGGAGGGGCAGAGAAGAAAATCTTCTGTTCAATAATTCACTCCCCACGCGGCCGCAATGGCTGGATCTGCACCGATCCAAAGCTAGGAGCCAGGAGCCTCTTCCGGGTTTCCTACACAGATTCATGGTCCCAAGGCTTTGGGCTATCCTCTGCTGCTTTCCCAGGCCACAAGCAGGGAGCTGGATGGATAGGAAGCAGGGCCACCAGGACTAGAGCCAGTGCCCATATGGCATTCCAGCACGTGCAAGGCAAGGGCTTTAGCTGCTAGGCTACCATGCTGGACCCTTCACTCCCTGTCTTATTGCTCACTGTTTCATTGTTAGGGGGATGGGGGGGCGTATTTCTTTATCTGTATATTTGAAAAGCAAAGCTACCTCCTGATATTTCATTCTCTAAATCCCACAAGTGTGTGGATGTGCTTCAGCCAAAAGCAGAACGAAAACTCCATTCAGGCCTGCCACCCGAGTGGCCAGGGTGTGCAGGCGCTCGCCCACAGGTTCTGCACAGGCAGGGAGCTGTGATCCTGAGTTGGGCTGGCGATGGCCCCAGGCTGCTTAGCCCCCCAGCTACGCACTGTTCTTTTCTTAAGGTTTGTTTATCTCTACCTGCAGTTATGTTTATTTACATCCTCACTTTCTCTTTGTTTCATGAAATCAAACTTTAAGAATTTGGATTCTTTGCCTAATTCACAATTCCTTCAGTGCTCAAACCCCATAACCAAACCTGTAAAGGTTCTTGAATGGGAAAAATGAAAGAAAAAAGAATTAGGTTTGTGGGGCAGATCACACAGGATGGGCTGTGGATTGGAGTAGAAATAAGGCCCAAGTGATTCAGTTTAAGTCAATCTGATCCTATCTGAAGGAGTAGGCCTCTGGCTTGGAATGAGAATGTTGTCTGTGAGGTGGGCGTAATTTTGCTATGTCAAGATAAGAATAGCTGTACCTCTGTCTGGCTTTGAAATGGGTTACTGATTTTCAATTGGTGCTTTTGCTAGGCGCTTAAATGTTCCAAAATGCCCTGAATTTACCTATTCCCAGCACCTGTGTTTCTAACAGCTGCTAAACTTAGCCTGAAGTCTTCAGCTTGAGGCTAAACCTAAAATTGCTGAGTGGCTTACAGGCTCGCTATCAACGTCAGGAGAGAATTTAGGTTGCATGAATGAGGTGAAAACCATATTGCACTTCAGAGTGCACACATAGAAAACGTAGCCTTTAAAGGACAAAAAGAATTCCTAAGAAGAAATTTGTCTGAAAAACAGAGGCCACTTGGGTTGCCCACATGTTACGTGTTGAAAGTTGAAGTCTCAGCTTCTTCCCCAGTGTAGTTTCTGACTGATGCACACCCGGGAGGCAGTGGGGGGAGGGGCTCAGCATCTTGGGTACCTGGCACCCCCATAGGAGCCCTAAAATGTGTTCCGGGCACCCAGCCCCTGCTATTGTGGAGCACTGGAAAAATGAGCCGGCTGGAGGGAGATACTCCCCTCTCCACCTCTCTCTGCCCTTTCCCTTTTTCCCTTTCAAAACTATTTTTAGAAAGAAAAGTTCTCATCATGCCCTATTGTATTGTAAAGCCTGAGGTTTTTACCCAGAAGAGACATTTTCACTCGTTTATGGCATTCTGCCATTCAGACTGAGATAGTTGCTGAGCAGATTTGCCATCGCCTGGAACATTGGCAAGTGCAGCATCTCCCAGCCAGGATGGAGGTATCCCAAACAGTGGTTTGACGCTTGATGCCATGTTGCTCATTGCTGTTGCTGTCATTGCAAGAGCACAAACTAGATGGATTATATGACTGAACTCCTCAGGCAGTTTCCCAAAACAAAACTCTCTAGGAGGAATAAAGGGTTCCCTCTTTACGAACAAGCAAAATTCCATGACACGATTGTAATAGCATGTTACAAATCCTTACACAAGCAATTGTCACTTTGAGATTTTGATTAGATTTTCCAGTCTGTGTCTATACTTTAAAAAGATTATTTTTGTTGAAAGGCAGATTTGCAGAGAGAAGGAGAGACAGAAAATTTGTACATCTGGGGTTTACTTCCCAAATAGCCACAACAACCAGAGCTGCACCAATTCAAAATCATTAACCAAGCGCCTCCTCTGGTTCTCCATGTGGATAGAGGGGACCAAGGGCTTGTACCATCCTCCACTGCTTTCCCAGGGCACAAGCTGGTTGCTGAATCAGAAATGGAACAGTCAGGTCACCCATAATGGATGTTGGCACTACGGGCAGAGGATCAACCTGTTAGACTACCAAACCTGCCCTGAAGCCTGCTTCTATACTCTTAATGAATAGTGGTTTTTTTTTTTCCACTTGCTATTTGTTGTAATCTTTATATAATGGAGCATTAGGTCTGTGATTGCAAAGTGAAATGGAAGAAAGTCATTATAAAACATTTTTTTTAAGAAATAGAGGAGAGTTAGTGGGGAAAGATG